CTTTCTATTTCTATTGGTAGGTCTTTGTATTTTGTTATCTTCTCCAGTTCTTTCTCCTCCTCCTCCTCCTCCTCCTCCTCCTCCTCCTCCTCCTCCTCCTCTTCTTCTTCTTCTTCTTCTTCTTCTTCTTCTTCTTCTTCTTCTTCTTCTTCTTCTTCTTCCTTCTTCTTCTTCTTCTTCTTTTTCTTCTTCTTCTTCTTCTTCTTCTTCTTCTTCTTCTTCTTATTATTATTATTATTATTATTATTATTATTATTATTATTATTATTATTATTACAAAGGCAAGCCTTGTTATAGGATTGCAAAAAATGTCTAACCAAAAGGAAGCCACAGGTTATTATGCTGGTACAGATACTCCTCAACTTATGACCAAGACTGAGCCCAGAATTTCTGTTGCTAAACGAGACAGTTGCCAAGGGAATCTTGCTCCATTTGTTCCGTTCTTGCTATCCTTGTTAAGCGATTCACTGCAGTTGTTACAGTTAGCAAGATGGCTCTGAAGGGAATCTGATTTCCCCAATTAGTTTGCGTGTCGGAAGGCGACAAAAGGGGATGGGGGACCCTGCCACCCTCGTGTGTGTGTGTGTGTGTGTGTGTGTGTGTGTGTGTGTGTGTGTGTATGAGTCAGTTGCCAGATGTCCACATTTTGATCCCATGACCAGTGGGATGCTGCAGTGACTGTAAGTGTGAAAAAGAGTCACAAATCACCTTTTTCAGTGTTGTGGTCACTTTGAGTAGTCACTCAACAAATAGCTGTAGGTTGAGGATGATCTGCATCCACTTTCTAAAGGAAGTGGGTTCCAAATTTGGAAGGCAGCAGCTGCAAAAATGTCATTTATTTTTCACAGGGTTGGAATTTGGGGAAAGATGGAGAGATTCTGACACATGACCTATTAAGGGGAGGAAATGCATTTTGGCCTCTGGCTATTTTTGATTTAAATGTGATAACCATCCCCTTGAATTTTACTGTCTGGGGACATGCCTAGGGTTACAGGACCCACCTGACTTGAGAACTTGGCCAGTCCAGATGTGTGTGTGTCTGTGCGTGTGGGGTAAGATCCAGCTGTTGCTCATGGTCCAGATGGATCTCGATAGACTTGAACCCTGGGCCCCATGTAACAAAATGAAATTCAGTGTAGAGAAAAGTAAGGTTTTTTACACTTAGGCAAGAAAAAAATCCAACGTACAGGAAGAGCTCAGGTGAAATCTGACTCAACAGTAGTAACCACAGGAGAGTCACTTAAAATGCGAGCCAGCAGCCCCAAAAGCCAACACAATCCTAGGCTGCATTAACAGAGGGATAGAATTAAGATCAGGGGAAGTGTTAAAACCGCTTTATAATGCCTCGGTAAAGCCACAGTTGGAACACTTCATCCAGTTTTGGTCACCATATTATAAAAAAGATGTTGAGACTCTAGAAAGAGTACAGAGAAGAGCAACAAAGATGATTAGGGGACTGGAGGCTAAAACATACAAGGAACGGCTGCTGGAATTGGGAATGTCTAGTTTAACGAAGAGAAGGATGAGGGGTGACATGATAGCAGTGTTCCAGTATCTCAGGGGCTGCCCCAAAGAAGAGGGAGTCAAGCTATTCTCCAAAGCGCCTGAAGGCAGGACAAGAAGCAACGGATGGAAATTAACCAAAGAGAGAAGCAACCTAGAACTAAGGAGAAACTTCCTGACACTTAGAACAATTAACCAGTGGAACTCCTTGCCTCCAGAAGCTGTGAATGCTCCAACACGGGAGGTTTTTAAGAAGAGATTGGACAACCATTTATCTGAAATGGTATAGAGTTTCCTGCCTGAGCGTGGGGGGGGGTTGGACTAGATGACCTCCAAGGTCCCCTCCATCTCTGTTATTCGGTTAAACCTGGGCGGGAAACGCAATATAATCACTATGCTGCTGTATGCTTCTTATATTTCCAGGTGCAACTGTGAGCAGCAAAGCCCAAACTGGAGCGTTTAATTTCTCAAAGTGGTGAGCAGCTTGGCTGAGTTCCTCAACGATGGAGAAAACATGAGGGAGACACCTGGAATTTTTTTCCCCCGTGGCTGGAAAAAAAGCCTCGCTCCAAAATTCCCCCTTATTGTTCGTAGGTGAGTGAAGGACGAAGACTTGTCGGTAGGGTTGCCAGGTCTGCTTCCAAAAAATAGCGGACAAGCGGGGGGGGGGGGG